AGCTGCAATCGCAATCGCAGTCGCAACCTCAACACCAATCGCAACCTCAACACCAATCGCAACCTCAATCCAAGTCTCATCCACAAACCTCGACTCAGACTCAGACTCAGACTCAGACTCAGCCGAATCATGACTCTACCGCCATGCAAGCCCAATCAGTCTCTCAGCTAGCCAATGTTACTCCGCATACCTCCTCTCCTCCCTCCAAAATTCCCTTCCGTCCTCGAAAAATCCGCAAGCTCTCGCCTGATAAAACCCTCGACCCAAATTCCGCCCAAACTATCGACTCTGCAAACACCACCTCCACCATCGCGGTCTCCGATGCCGTCGTCACATCAAAACCCACCAAACCCAAGCTCGCCCAGTCCCGAGCCCTAACACTGCCGCGAATTGTGGCTCGCTCTCTCTCCTACGAGGGCGAGGTCGAGTCCGCGATTCGCCACCTTCGAGCGGCTGATTCGCTTCTGGCATCGTTAATCGACCTCCATCCGCCTCCCACCTTCGATTCCTTCCAAACCCCTTTCCTTGCACTTACCCGAAGTATTCTCTATCAGCAACTTGCCTTCAAAGCCGGCACTTCCATCTATACTCGCTTCATCGCGCTCTGCGGCGGTGAATCCGGCGTGCTTCCGGAGACTGTGTTGTCCCTAAGCCCGCAACAACTCCGCCAAATCGGTGTCTCTGGCCGCAAAGCTAGTTACCTCCATGATCTCGCCAGGAAGTACCAGAACGGGATCTTATCGGATTCCGCCATTGTAAATATGGATGATAAGTCACTCTTTACAATGCTCACTATGGTCAACGGGATTGGTTCCTGGTCTGTTCATATGTTCATGATATTTTCGCTGCACAGACCCGATGTGCTGCCCATCAATGACCTTGGGGTGCGGAAGGGCGTCCAGCTACTGTACAATCTGGAGGAGCTGCCACGCCCATCGCAGATGGAACAGCTGTGCGAGAAGTGGAGGCCTTACAGGTCGGTTGCCTCCTGGTACCTCTGGAGGTTCGTGGATGCTAAGGGGGCACCTTCAAGTGCTGCTGTGGTTGCAGCTGGTGCTGCTCTGCCTCAGCCACAACAGGAGGACCCGCAGCAGCAGTCACAGCAGCCCCAGCTTCTGGACCAGCTTAACAGCATGTTCAACATTGGGTACAATTCCTTTGGCTTGAATTATTAATTTGCTTCTTCTCTAAGAAAGCTTATTGTTTGCTTTTTGTAGTCGGTATTCTGGTTATTATGGTTTTTATGTGATTGCTCACTTACCTCATCCTTTCCTTCTAAATCCTCATTCTGTTTGAATGAGTTGTCTGTGCCCTTTGATGGGTTAGGAAATTGAGTCTATACCCGTTATTGCTAAAGTCCTTGCAGGTTGAGATGTGAAGTTAATTACTAAGGAAATTAAGTCTATAAGGATAATGATCTTGAGCTTTTGAACGTTTCATGAAATATTGTTTGCTTTCGTCTATGATTATCTATTTTCCATTAAATCCATACACAAGCAGCAGCCTTGGCCTTGAAATAGTTTGCCAATAAACATTGATTGGTAGACCTCCCCCATGCCATTGGCTTTAGAAGAGTCAGATCATTGACCTGTGGTTCTGGCATTCTTGATCTCCAAATACTGGGACACTCTCTATTTGGAGTTGCAGTGGCTGCTGGCTCTTAAAAAATCAGCCTTCTAGTTACTTAGATAGCAATCGGCAGCAGATCTAGATTGCATCACCCAGTGAAGAGGTATCTAGAAGCCCGAAGCCCAAAGTCAAAAGGTCATTGGAAGCCAGTGCCGGATTCCCACATCCCAATCCCTTCATGTGGTGTTTTCATGTCTGAAACCTCTATTGTTCGATTCACCCTCAGTAAACCATACTAAGATTGGCAAACTGGTTGACCACCTCTAGACCAATTTTTGACTGGTTAAGACCAGTTGATAAGATTTTTGACGTGCTTTTTTACTTTTTGAGGTCTATTTTGGACAAGTTCCTGACCTATACTCACTTCTTGAGCATTTTAATTTTTAGTCATGCATTTAATCATAGTTAGATTTAAAATATATGTTAAGCCTTTTAATTGGAACGGTGAAAGAGAGAATAACTACGCTGTACGCAAAAGTCATGGCTCCATTTGGTAAAGGACTTGACAATTGCTTATGGACATTGGGGATATCCTTCCAAACACCCATTCGACTAATGAACTTCTTCACCTTATGGACCAAGCCAAATTTATCTTTTGAAAGTATATCAAGATCCATCCAAGTCGATGTAAGATGGATTTTTCTATTATGGAAGGCATTGGTTGGTTCACCTTTGCAAGCATTCAAATATTGATGTGAAACTTAAATTTGCCAACTGCATTTGTTAGTTAACTAGAATATCTGCACCAAATATTTCTTATGACAATACATAGATTAAGAAAGTCTTGAGTTAATTTTTTCTACTTTTCAAATATTAGCTTAGAGGATGAGGCAATGTTAAGGAGATCTTGGTACTTGGATTGCAAAACTTAGATCATATGTAGTGATGTTTTAGAAGTGTTCAAGCACTTCTTGAAGTCTATGTGGCCCAAAGGAAGGATGTAATCTGAACAAAGAGGCAATAGTGACAAATGTTTTACAAGAAAGTGATTAGTCTTTGGAGGTTGCTCTCTTCTCTCCTACATGGTATTCGAAAAGATAATGAAAAAGCTTTACCAATTGCTCATGGCTTAGTAGAGGGTTTCATTAAACTTAAACCATCTCTCTGATACAAGCAATAAGATCTTTAGTCATCTTTTACATGGCTACAGTGACCTTATGCTAGGAGCCATCCTTTTCTACGAGCAAGAAATATCGTTACCATTGATCACCTAGCTAAATGAGCTAAGTAGAGAGGTTATGGAAGATGTGAATTCTGTTAAAGAGTTGAGTCACCTAGTGATGGATCTCTCAATTAGTAGTAGGCTATGACATAACTCAAGTTGAGGATGGTGATATCTAAGTTGATTTTACGTGGAGAAGGGCGAGCTCCAACCTTAAGAGGCTATGCCAAACATTCTTTTTGGGCTCCTAATAGTGGTGAGCAAGTTTTTTTGACCTTCGGTTTTGTCACGCCTACTTTTCTCATTAATCCTTTGGAATATTTCATTTGGAAATATTCATTTTTCCTCAAGATGATCACAGATTTGCCAGGTTTCAGCTGTTTGAAAGATATGTCCATGCTTTCACCTTTTTGCTGCCCAATATACTTAAGTTTTGACCAAGTGGGCAAAATGATGTAGAATATAAATATCTTTAAATTGACATATTTCACTATTATGAGAATTTTTATGTTATTATTGTCTTTATATATTGAGGATATTTAGCTTATTTATGAAATATGAGAATAGGTTTATTATTCTCTTATGAATTCTTATAGTTAGAATTCTTATTTTTTTTTTCTATTTAAGTATTCTAGTCATTAATCTATGTAGACATCCTAAACATACATACGTGGTTGTCAATATAATTTTCTATGTTGTTAATGAATAAAATACTTATCAATTTTCTCTCATTAAGTTGAGTGCCTAAGACAACTCTGTGATTATGGATGTTACAACCCAGTTCCTTTTATTGTTTCCGGTCCTTGTTATGATGGGTTAAGTTTATCTTATGTTTTCTTTTTTTAATTTATAGCTTTCTGAACCTGAACCCCTGTGCCAGATTAGGAATCTGGGCAGATCTAATATTAGCTTTTACCATTAATGTCTTGATTGCATTAAAAAGGAGATTCAGATGTTACTTATGTAAGAATGACACAGAATCAAAAAACCACCTTCTTCTTTTGTGTCCTCTTTCATATCAACTTTGTTACATGGCTGGTTTTGTTAAATAGGACATTCAGGCATGGAGAGCATCCAAGGGGATAAATGTCTTAACAAGAATATAGGTTTGTTGAATAGGATATTTTTTTCTTTTATTATTTAAGTTATTTTATTATTTAATTAGGTAATTTAATGTAATTAGAAGTTTACTAGAATATGAATTTTCTTATTAGTATTCTATAAATACTCAGGTGTAACAAGCTAAAGAGTGAGAAATAAAATTATATTTTTTCTTTAAAAATCAACATGGTATCAAAGCCAAAGTATGTACTATTTTAAGATTTTGAAAAAACCCTAAAATAGAAAAATAGAATGAGTAAAAAGACCCAGATCAGAAGAGAGGGAGATTAGAAGAAGAGAGGCTAGAGCAGAGGAAGAAAGAGAGCAGCCAGCCTCCATTGCGCGCGGAGCCGCGCGAAGAGAGAACCTGGGAATCTGTCTTCTTCAGCCGCGTGCAGAGCCGCGTTTGCCTCAAGTAAGTTCTTCTTCAGTTGCGCACAGGGACACATTAACCTCGGGTCTATTCTTCAGCTGCGCGCAAAGACGTGCGAAAAAACCGATCAACCCAGCTTCTTCCGCCGTGCGCAGAGCCACACAAAGAGCTGCGCGATCTAGTTCTCCTTGCTCCGCACGCAGAGCCGCGCAAAGTGCCGAGCAACCAACTTCTTCTTCGTTGCACGCAGAGTCGCTCAATAGGAAGCTTTTCTAGCCGCGATCTCTACTTCGCACAGATTTGCCTGAGCCGAGATGGGACTTGAACTGTTTTT